CAATCAGAGGCGTTTAAGTTAGAATCCGCTCAGCTCGCCAGTTTGTTCTGCGCGCTCGCGAATTTTGCTACAAACCATGCTATAAAAGTACAAAAAATATAAGAGATAGTATATAAATAAAAACATGTTATATTAGTGCTGCAAATGATTAATCGCGATTAATCGCATCAAAAGTTTTTGTTTACATAATATATGCATGTGTACTGTGTTTATTTATTATGTATATAAAAATACACACACATACAGTATATATTTTGAAAATATTTACATGTATTTACATTTATATTTGTATTTTATATTATATATAAATATATTTAATACATAAACATAACATATTTTTCTTAAATATATACATGCATGTATTTGTATTTATATATACAGTACATAATAAATATACACAGTACACACTCGTATATTATGTAAACAAAAACATTGATTTTGGATGTGATTAATCGCGATTAATCGTTTGACAGCACTATTTTATATACATAGCTAATAAGTGGTTCGTTGTGCAGTATAGACAGATTTTTTTTTTATTACAACAGGAGTTTTAACTTAATGCGGGTGAACTTAAGTGATATCAGCTTCATTGATTATAAAGGGAGCGCTTTATACTCACTTTCTATTTATTACCCATTCATAATTTCAATACAAGTTTTATTTTCCATGTCGATAATTACATTTAAAAATGTGAAGCCTTTCCGCAGGTAGTACCAAATACCGGGTCGATCTGAAACGCTCCATAAAGAGTGTCAACGGTTTCTATTTACAGCGTGTTTTGCAGCGGTGAGCATTGTAGCCAATCACAGACGTGTTTGATGAGTCATGGCCAATCAGAGGCGTGTAAATCAGAATACGCACTACGCGCTTGCTAGTCGTTCTGCTATAGTCAACAAAGTATAACAATGTAAATAAGAGATTAATTGTACATTATAGACAGATTTTTATGAGTTTTCACTCAGTGAGCTTGTGCTGCGACTGAACTGAAGTGATGTCAGCTTCATTGATTTTAAAGGAAGTGTTCTTTGCTCGAGTTCTGTACATATAACCATTCATAATTTGACTAAACGTTTTATTTTTCATGCTGCTATGTACACACTGCTAAGTTTTGGCAGTGAAGACCGTATTAAAATGTGGCAATGAATCTATGTTTGATATTGCAACTAATTCCATTGCATAAAAATAAATGATAATAATAAATATAGATAGATAGAACCTCGTTGTATTTGTTATTTACATCAGAAATGCATGAGTTGCTTTATGGTTCTTTACAGATTAAAAAGGTTTCACAGATGATTTTCTAAGCACAGGTTTGTTCAGTGTTGTGTTGCTGTGATGAGACAATCCGTTTGGATGTTTGTATTGGGATCAGATTAAAGCAGAGACGCTCAGATCATGACATGACGGGAAAGTGTGTGTGATTAATGAGTTTGTCGTTAGCTGATGAGTGGCGTCATTCATTGAGTGTTTATGTCTACAGCAGCCCTGACTAATGCCATGCGAGACAGACACGCTCAACAAAACACCAACACTGTGTGTTTGGAACTACTGTACCATATTTCAGGTTAAGATTTGTCCCAAAAAGAGAGTTAAATCTGACCAAACCTCCATTTGAAGACACTGAGAAATGTCTTCATTTGTAAAAATGACACATACATAATACACTTTATTTATATGCATCAATTTGCAATGTAAATCTGTGAGTTAAAGCGTTCCAGAGTCATTAAACTAATAACAAACTGAACTAACTATGAAACATACTTCTGAAGCATCTTAGTTAATGTTCAACATTACCAACACATATTTAAAATCAGTAGTTGCATCTGTTGATATTATTAATTGGACCTGAGCTGACATGAAAAACAGCGAACCGTTGTATTTTTTATCAAAGCTAACAAAGATTAATAAATACTGTAACAAATGCATTACTCACTGTTAGTTAATGCATTCATTTTTGCATTATTGTAAATGGTTACCACTTACCAGTAAAGGTTTCAACAGTAACAAATCTTGTTGATTACCCTCAGAAATGATGTAAAGAGTGACAATCACAGAGGTTCAGCTCAGAATAAATGAAGCGTGAGGTGGGCGGGGTTTGTCAACTGTCAATCAATGGTTGCCCTTAACAACAGGATTTTTAAACCTTAACCATGAGTCTAAACTAAAGAGATCACTGTTTCAGTTTCTATTCCGACTAAACTGAACTTGGAATAAGGAGAACATTTACTCTTCATTTACACACACACTCACCAGTCTTTATAACAGTTTTAATATGTTGGGAAAAAATCCATGATGTAATACTTTTCACAAACTGAACACAATTAAAGTCTGTGAACTCCTGAACTACGTGTCTTCATTTATTTTTTTAAGAGACATAACCTTAGAAAAAAATCACATGTTTTGCTTTCAGATCATTTGGGACCCAAGTATATGAAACACATTTAGTAAAATATATTTCACCTTTCTCTCACCTTTTCTCCATATCTCACACACTTTTGGGACTGAATTGCAGTAAGAAAAACTGATCACTTTTTTTCATCTGAAAGTGAAAGTTTATGCAAGTAAAATTAATTTATTCAGTTTGAAAACCTTTCAGAGTGACGTTGTTTTGATGTTAGTTTGGACTGTTTTTGAGCAATCACACGAGTGACAAATACACAGGACTTTTATTAAATTCCATTCATTCCAATATGGCTGATACTGCTAATTCTCAAATTCTATGTTCTAATACTGTAAATTGCATACAATGATTTTTAAATAAAACTTCTCATCAATATTGAATATATATATATATTTTTTTTTTTTTTTGTGTGTGTGTAATTGTATTTGTATTTAATTGAAATTTCAAAGAATTTTTTTTTATTTTTAATGACTAAATAAGGCATAAGTGCAGTGGCACCAATGAAAACTTTGCATTTTTCCACATCCACTCATTAATGAGAAGTTTCTGATCAGCTACAATATGGTTTTAGCTGAAAAATGAGCCCGGTCTCATGAAAATGCGTCTAAATAGTACGCCAAATACAAACAGAAAATCGTGCTATTGATATGCAGAAACTGACTCTGGCGTGCATATGATACGCACGCGTTTGAAGTGCTTATAATACAGTTTTCGCGTGCATATGATACGCAATTTGTTGGCGTGCATATAATACGCAGTTTTCGCGTGCATATGATCTGCATCTACCCCACACCCTTAATCCTACCCATTGCTATCATATGCACGCCAAAGTCGATTTCTGCGTATAAATAGTACGCCAAATCGAAACGTTAACTCGTGCTATTGATACGCACTTTCATGAGATCGGGTTAAAAATACTAAGTAACGACTGGTCCCAAACAGACCCTGAATGTGAAAACAGTATTCAGATTTTGAACGCATTATAAGGTTAAAAGACCAGATCGCTCTGAATGAACGCTACTGGAAGAACGTTAGTTCATAACTTTGAGAGAACCGAAACGCTCTGAGAACATTAGAGACGCTTTCTGAAAACAAGCAAGAACTCAGAGACTGAAGGTGGACCTGGAAATCTGACATCACCATCATCAGGGCCTGATTTTCATCTGTGCCGCATAAAGAGTCTTTGTACGCTCTGGATCTGTTTTTCCACGGAAGAAGAACAGCACAAATGCACTCACTGCGTGGGTCGCTCTTCTCGCGGATGCCGTCCACTCGACCGTCGGGATGGATCCGGAGGAAGAAGCCGCCGTTCTTGCAGTAAAGCCGCTTGGGCTCCTTGAAGTTCACCGGAGGAAAGCCTCCGCTGGCGCCGTCCTCCGGTAAAGCGGGGAGCGTGGTGATTCCTCCCGCCGCCATCTCTCGCTCTCTCGGTGCCTCCGGAGCCCCTCCGCGGCCTCCCCGCGCCTCCTCCCCCGGCTCCCCCGTCTCCCTCCGCCGCTCCGCGGAGCCACGGAGCCTCATTAAAGCGCGGAGAAACTCTTCAAGCTGCGGGACACTGTGTCTCCGAAGAGAGAGCGGATCAGCGCTGTGTGTGCTGGAGTGGAGCAGCTCTCTCTCTCTCTCTCTCTCTCTGACCGCATTATTCCCTCAACATTAGTGAGAGAGAGAGAGAGAGAGAGAGGAAACTATAGTCCTACTGTCCCAAAGCATCTCTCATCTCACTCACAAATACACAACAAAATGTGTTTATGATCAATGAGCCCAAAATGGTTTAGGAAACATACCCAGCCCCATTCCTGATGCTGATACAAATATATTTTGTTATGTGCCTTCTTTGCTATTTCTATTAGTTTATAATCTTTATTATTTACATTACTTTATTTTACTTTAGTTAGTTGCTAAGGCAAAATATGTTTTTCATCTAATGTTTGTATTTCATTTTAGTTTAATTTCGATACCAAAAATTATATTTATTTATTTAAGTTTTTAAAGGTTAATTTTTATTTAATTAATTTTAGCAATTAGTTTAGTTTAATCACTTTTATTATTTAAAGCTATATAT